GACTGATTGAAACCGTTGATGTTGGACAGGAGTTCAGCTGGAAACAAGGGGGATGGGACTGAAGAGGGTGTGTGTCCAAACTCCCAAGATGTGAATGAATAAACCCAGAGGAGGAGGAGGGGTGCAGCTAAGAAGTGGAGAAAGATAGAGCATAGAACAAGCAAAGAGAAAGAGAGAGAGAGAGAAAGTAAGTTAGAGAGAAAGCAAGCGGTGGAGAAAAATAGAGAGCAAGTGAGAAAGCAAGCAAGAGGAGGGGGGTGGCAGCGGCATGTTTAAACAGCCCAGACGTGATTGACAGGTCTGATAAGGCAGTAGAGAGAAGAGTGTATGTGAGAGGGTGGAGGGGTGGAGGGGGATCAGTCTCCCAATCTGACTGGGAGAGGAAAGTGAGCTATTAATTACTAAAGCAGAAGCAGATGTAACAGAATGGTGCCTGAGCAGCTGGAAATCATCAGCATGAACCAAACAGGGAGGAGAAATAAAGGTGGGTGGGGAGAAGAGGGAAAGAAAGAAAGAAAGAAAGAAAGAAAAAGAAATGGACAGTGGGATGCATTAGATGTAGACTGTAAAAGCAGTGAGCAGGATATTTGGGGTTGATTTAATAGTAGTAATAAAACAATCATGTGGCTTCGGTGATTCAGAATCATCTGGAAGGATGTTAAAGAAAGAAAGAAAGAAAAGGTGGACAGTGGGACGCATTAGATGCTGATTATAAGAGCAGTGAGCAGAATATTTGCTAGATTTGATTTAATAGTAGTAATAGAACAATCATGTGGCTTTGGTAATTCAGAATCATCTGGAAGGATGTGATTGGGTTTTTAATCCTATTCAGTTTGTCAGCATTAATATGGATGAAATGACAACTGGATTTTGAAGAAGAACCAAAAAAAAAAGGAATGTGGCAAAGAAATTGTTGCTGTTATTATTGTATAATTTTATCAATTGCAATTGTATTGATATGTAATTGTACTTTTGATATATATACGATTTATTTATGCTTTTACGGTTTGTTTGTTTTTCCCTGTCATATTTGTCTGTTTTAATTCTTTTCCTAATCTTTTCCTAATGAGTCCTTTTGCCGTTTGTTGTTTGAGATATATCATGTAAATTAAATAAACTACAAACTAGAACATTAGAAAACGTGCAAATAAATCAGCAACCAAACATATCTCCTGCTAATAATCCCACTGAACACTAAACTTTTATTTATTTACCACAGTATAATGTAATTATCATTTATCACATATAATTACACACACACACAAGCACACACACACACACACACACACACACACACACGCGCA